ACTTTTAGCAATGGAGCTTTCAACATTCAAGCATGAGGAAATTATATCACAATTCAAAGATAACTTATATAAACCATCCAACAAGATACCATTAACAACAACTTGAGAACTCAACATAAAATTTATTTTTTCATCATAAAAGGTAAATTGAAGTCCAAACTTATCCAAATAAGATACTGAAATCAAATTCCTCCTAAAAGAAGGTACATAAAATGTATCTTTCAAAACAAGTTCAAAACTAGTTCCTAAAACTAAACTAACACCTCCCACTAGCTCCACAATGACTTCAAGATAATTTCCTACCTTGAGTTTGCTTTCCCTCAAGTTTGGTTCCGCTGGTTTCTAAACCTCTGTAATGACACAACAACATGGGTTGTAGAGCCACTATCAAGCCACCAAGAATTAATAGGAACATCAACTAAGTTAGACTCAAAATAGACAAAAGCTAAATGATTACCTCCAGATTTGTTCTTGTTGTCTAACCAAGCCTTAAAAGCATGCCAATCAGTTTTCTTATGCCCCTTTTCCTTACACCAAAAGCACCAAAAGAATTTCTTAAAAGCAACAGGCTTGGGACCTCCTATATTATGGTGTTGACCATTACCATGTTCCCTAAATTCAGGATATCTATGAGAAGCACTATGGGTGTTTTTCTTATTTTTCCAAGAATTCTTACCAAAATAGGGTTTAGCATGTAAAGTTTGGAGGGCTAGATCACTTATTTCCTTCTTGAGTTTCTCTTCTTCAGCTACATGCTTGGCAATAGTAGTAAGATATTCTTTAGCATTATCTTTCTCGGGCAGTCCACTTATCAAAAATTCCTAAATGATTCTCTTTATATCAAACAAGCTAAGTCGGTCACTCCTCTCCCACTTAGCTAATTTTTCTTTCTCTTCAAGTGTACTCTGATCATTGATCACAGGTTTGGTTTCACGTAATTCCATGTCAAGGTCAGCAATCCCTAATGAAAACTCTAAGTCTTTCTTCCATTTCTTAAAATTAGACACATTCAGGATCTCAATAGAAGCAGATTAATTGTTCATAAAGAAGGTCACTATTGAGACAAAATAGGAATGCATTAGAACAATTAATAAAAGACAAGATATAGCTTTAATGAACATAAGTTATCATGAAGAGGCCAACATTGTCACACAATCTCCTTTGGGTGGAATGCGTAAAACCTAGGTTACAACCAAGGTCAGAACCTCAAATGAGTTACTCAATGAGCATACATTTAGTTCAAAAATCTATCTCTTTTGGGTAGATAAATCCTCTAAACCAAAACACCTTCAATAACTTCATCTACGAATTTCAAGAATAAACTACTAAGTAAGCATACATTGAGTTTAGAAATTTATCTCATTTGGGTAAATAAATTCTTTGGTCCCAATCATCTCTAATAGCTATATCCTTAATCATCCACAATCTCTACATACAATTCTCCACCTTTGGGAAGACAATCATAGTAATGACTTAAAACCATTCCTCAAATTACAAAGAGACTTTTATAAATTAAAATGAGTGATCTCACTTTGGTGGTAATCACACAAAATTATTTATAGAATTTCTTGCATAGGAATCAAATTTCTCTTGCCAAAATTAATCATGAACCAATCATGAGTTTAAACAATATAGCATTTCCAATAATTTTGTCTTCAACAATATCAATCTCGATATTATAATAGATATTATATAATATTTCAAAATATTTGACAAAATCAATATTTACAAATTTATATAAACTAATATTTATTTAATAAATTATCCAAGATAAAATAATAATAATTTAAACAAAACTATAAAACAGTATATATATATATATATATATATATATATATATATATATATATATATATATATATATATATATATATATATATATATATATATATATATATATATATATATATATATATATATATATATATATATATATATATATATATATATATATATATATATATATATATATATATATATATATATATATATATATATATATATATATATATATTAAACCTATAAAACTATAAATGTATATACTGTATTCACGTGAATAAAATAAATAATGCTATTGAGTGAAAAAACTAGAACTGTATTGACGCAAATTACACTATTGATATTAATATATCTATACTATACTAAAACCAATTAAATAAAAATATAGAAATTGGCTATTAATTTACAAGAGGGAAACCAATTGAACAAAATTACTGGCACTAAATTATTGACTTCATCGTACATTTTTAAAACAATTATTCCTATTTATCATACACTTTTGATTTCAACAAGATATATGATGCAACGGTATACATTACTATTCTAGATTTTTCATTAACAAATCAATTAGTTTCACAAATTTAACAAATCAATATTTACAATACGACATTGCAACAAAAGTGTATTATAATTTATTGGTTTGTAAAAATCAATTTGAATCACACATTGAAATTGATTTAAGTAATTGTTCAAAATAATTAGAGTCTTCAATTCATAATCATATATTAATAACAAACAATTGAATCATAACTCATATAATTAAACTCTAATACTAAATGTAAGTGAAAATATTCAATAATAAATTATATAAAATTAAAATATTAATACTTATTTGTTGAAGTCATAATTTAGAATCCCGAAAAGATGAATGATTTGTTCTTCCTATGTATCTCACGCTCTCGTTCACAATTCTCAATGAGGCAAGTTGTGGAGCCGTCAGTTATGTTTTATATTCATGTGATTACAGAGGGGACGTAACCATATAATATATATAACCATAGTCCCTACCTATTATAAATCCAAGACCCACACTTTACCCATATCAATCAAGTTTCAGATAATCTATCCTTGTAACATATTGTTTATATTTTCATAGATATTGTAAGAATAAATTTCTTCGACTCATAAACTCTAAAATCAAAGAGGTTAGTCCCTCTTTCAATAGATTTTATAAATCTTTTAAATAATGACATTTTAACTAGACATAATTAAATATTAAAGGTCTATACAAATCTACTTGTTATTAAAAAATTTATAATAGAATATAATAATTATTTTATTCTTTTCTATAATTTTAATATTATTTAAAAAAATTAAAAATATATTACTTTTTATATTATTTTTTTATTAAAATTTCATTTTTAAAGATTAGAACAAGACGTCTAAATTATTTAAAACAATAAACTTTATCGTAAAGTTTATTTTTTCTTTTTAACAATCAAATTTTAGACTATTCTTTTTATTGTGCCCGTTGCACAACTACTAATTGAACTACCGCATGCTTTCTTACAATTTTGATATATACTTTTTAAAATTATTGTTTAAGTTATACCAAAAACACCATTATATAAAATATATGTTTATTTATTTTACACATGTTGCAAAACAATGTTAACAAAGACAACAAATATTATAGTTTCTTATTTAATATTTTCCTTGTTTGTACCCTAAAGAAATATATAAAAAGAGTACAAATAAACAACTGACTTAATAGCAAACTAGGGCAATCAAAACTATTAGAATCCTTCATTTTCAAAAGGTGGAAAATTAACTAGTTATGCTTTTCCTGGAGGTTTTGGGTCATGATGATGATTTGGTCCTGTTCCAGGATAATCTGAAATATCCATCATCATTCTTCCCTCTTCAAATTCATTCTTCATGTCAAAGAGCTTCTCATTATTCTTTAAGTCCATAATCAAATCCTCCTGCAAATTAATAAAGATCACAGTATAAATAAAAGAAGAACATCAAGAACAACAACATAATTATAAAAAAAATAAAAAAACTAATGTGAATACAACTCAGATGCTTGGTAAAAAAATTATCATAATTTACTTTAGCAAGATAAACCATTAAAAAATTAATATTTAGAAGTAAATTTCAAATATGAATTATTTTATTACTTTGAGATCTGTATTAGTCCCTTATAATTCCAAAAAAAAAAGTTGAGCATGCCTTGAAGCTAGGGCATGTATATATTCTTGGTTAGAAGTTGTTGGATAAATGATAATAATATATGAATCTTAGGGAGGTATACATAGAAAGTGGGAGAATATACCTTAGTCTGAATATCAATATCCATCTCTTTGGTCATATAGATTCCTATATAATCACAAGATTTTGTCCTTTAATTGTGTATAAACAAAAAAGTTTGCAGCATCAAAACCCTAGATATGTTAAAAATAGATGAAACTTACTAGTTGAAGGTACAGCAGCAACATATAAATAGGAAAGGAGCAAAAGAATAAACACAATTTTGAAGGTGGATTTCTTCTCCATAAAGATCTAAAAACTTTGAAGACAATAGTAGAAAACTAGAGAGTATAACAAAGGTTGGTGATATGGGTTGGATATAGGGGAAGGTTCCTTATATAGAAGGGCAAAGCTATATTTTTGTAATTAAATATTGGAAAAAGCACAATAGTACTTTATATTTGCTACAAAATTAAGGTCAGTTATTTGATAATTTATTAAACGTTTTTTATTGTAATCATTTTTAATTACAACTCGTGGCTTAATCTATCTAACTTTTGTAATATTTATTAATATTTAAATTGTAAAAAATATTTTAAATTTTCTACAATGTTTTAAATTAATAATAAATAGATAACTAATATTTTTAGTTAAGAATAGGATAAAATTAGATTAAAAATAATAGTGTTAATTTAACTTTGATTTGTCATTAATTTTATTGAGCCTTATTGGTAGCAAACCTCCATTTTTGTTGGTTTCTTAAGATTCTTGGGTGCATGGAGCTTTAGGGTCAACATCGTTAAAAGCTTTTTGTCATGTGTCAATGTGGCGAATGTCCTTTTGGAAATGGTTGAGTGTTTCTTTAACATGAGTCTGTTTTTTTTTATCTCCGTTTATATGTGAGGGCGGATTCTATAAAGGAGAGAATTGGAAACAAGGTTAGTGTTCTGTTATGGAATTAGAATCCGTGAATATTGTTGATAAAAGATTTTGAGCTAATGGTGCTAATCTTCGAAACAGTGGTGTGGGTGGACCTCTAAAGTTAATATTACAACGTCCAAGTCGATTCATAATTTAATATGAGTGTAGGTAGGATTTGGAGGTTATGGATTCTTGTTAGGTGAACCTTAAATATTAAAACCTATAATTTGAATAATAAGGGAAAACTTGGGGTTATGGATGTTTGTTTGGTGAACCTTAACATTTTAGGTAAGTGGGGATGGAGAGTCATTTCATGTAACCCGACTTCATGGAAGAACATTATTACAACTAAGTATGGGTCTTACAAAATTTTCTTGCATTTGGGAGGGAGTTTAAAAAGGGCTTAGGTTGACGTCAAAGTTGTATCTACCATTGGATTATACTTCTAACTAGTTCTCTGATGGTGTGATTAAGGTTCTAGAAAATGGTTGATTGACATATTTATTAGAAAATGTAAATATATTTTATATTTTGAAAATGTCTTTTATATAGTATATATTCTTTTGTATTTATTTAGCAAATCAATCTCATTAATTGAGACTACCATTATGATTTAGTAACGCCTTCATAGAAGATACTATTGTATATATACATAATTATGCAAGGGAAATATTCTCCTACATGGTTTCAGAGCACTTTGGTTTCTAACCCTAGCTCTTTATATTCTCCACCATAATTCTCTTCTCTTTTCACTAGTCGTTGGCCAAAATTTTCTTCCTCCTACCTCATGGATGAATATGATCTTCCCTCTCTAACCGCTTTCTCCCAATTGAAATATTCATCGGTCCCTACTTAACTCAAACTCTTGTCACTCATCATGTCGTCCGTGTTTATAATATCATCAACTTCATCAAAGTTAGGCTAAATTTGGAAAAAAAAAGTCAATATAATACATGGTCACAACTTTTTAAGATCTATGCCAGAGCCGACCATATTGTGCCTCTCTCTATGGATGATACATTTAGTCGTTTTTTCAAAGAAATTAATCCTAAAATTTGGTTGCATATTGATGCAGTTGTCCTACAATGGATCTACATGATTATATCTGATGATTTTCTCAACAATCATCGAACGTGATTCAACGATTAAACTTGCTTGGAATCGAATGTTTGAAAAAAATTTTACAACAAAAATTCAAGGGAACTCTATCTAGAATAAGAGTTTCACGACTGTAGATGGTGTAGTTTTATAGTGTTTCATCGTATTGTCAACATCTAAAATTTCTCTTTTATCATTTCCAATGTTGGTTCTCTCGTATCAAACGAGTGATTGATACTCCAACTTATTTCTAAATTAAATGATGTTTATGTCACCTTCGAATCACAAATTTGATATGGAGATACACTATCGCCTTTCAACAAAGCCCTCTCAACGATCAGTTTGGAGGAAACGACAAAGGCTAAAAAAGAAGCAACCATCATAAACAATTTTGTATTTCTTGCATCTCAAGATGATCATTATTTTGTAAATTATTCTTATCATAAAAAGCATAACAACAAAATGGAAGCAACATATGTTGGGGCGTAATAGTGCAACCTTCAACTGTGGTAGAGGCAATCGTTGTGGTGTTCGTGGTAAAGGGCAAGGTGGAGGTTGTGACAACCGATCAAAACATCAATAGTGGATCCCATTTTCATCTCAACAACAACAACAACAATAGTGATAGTCCCTTCTATCATGGGTTGTACCGTTTAAACCTTGGGCTACGCCACCATGTTTGTACCCTACAACACCAAAGTAACGGGATCAGTCTCCTTCTCATCGCCAGCCAAGATTTCATGGGTCTAAGCCTCAACAACCTCATATGGAACTCCAATAATAACCAGTGTTCAACCATCATATGCTTTAACTAAAGTTCAAGTTACATTGCATATTTTATCTATGGATCCTCTTGATGATCCGTGATACATGAAAATTGGAGTCACTTCTCATATGACTACAGATGAAAGCAATCTCACGTCTTATTCCAATATGAGAAATAATATTATTGTTGATAGTGGTCATAATATTCCAGTTATTGATTGTTAAAGTGCATTAATACCAAATCCTAATCATTTCCTAAACCTAAACAATATCTTACATGCACCAAACTTAATTTAAAATATTGTTTCTATAAGAAAATATTGTTGAATTCGCCCCCTCTTTTTTTTTGTGAAGGGTTTTCAGAAAGGGATTCTTGTAATGAGATATGATATCTCGATGATTGTATCCAATTATCACAAAACAATCACTACCAAATCTTTACCATCCACATTTTTCATTTTATTCAAATAATTATGGAACAACCGCATAGAACATCCAGGCGTTTCGGGTTTAAGTTCTCTTCACTGAAACAATTTCATTATCTATAATAAGTTTCAAAAGTTTTTTTTGTCATTTTATCCTCTTGAAAAATAAATAAAATTACCTTTTTAAGAATCATTTTCCTATACTTTCTTACCTTTTTATATTGTCCATAATTTGTTTTTGATAAAAAAAATATATTTAATGGGGAGTATAAAGGATACTTCAACCCAATACACAAGAAGAAAACATATAACTTACAACCCGGATAAACACAATAAAGGTCTATTCACTCGATCATAACACTTGTAACATAAAGTGGCAAATTTCTTCTTCGAGAGCCAAATCCGAGTTTTTGTTTTAACTTCTTCACTTTGCTCCTCAATATGAATGATTTATCCTTTGAAAAAATCGGATTTCTAGTGTTCCTTACCATCCAACAAGTTGCATATAAGATTGTCAAGCCTAAACTAGACACCTTGTTATCATTCAAAAGTCCCCAAAATTTTTATAGAAATGAGCAAACCGGGAATCCTCCATGATCGAATAATTTCCTACCCATTGTAAAATTTCTTTCCAGAGATGCTTAAATTTGGAGAAAGAGAAGAAGAGATGGTCTAAAGTTTCTAGACTCTCAAAGCAGAATACACAACTTAATAAAAAAGTGTAGGTTATGATATCTCTTTTTTTGTAGAGCTAGGTAGTTTATCTTGTAGACGTCTCTAGCCAAATATGATAATTTTCAATGGGATTTCGCATTTCCAAACTGAGTTTAGTGCAATCGAGAAATTCTCTTTCGGAAAAGTGTGATGTCACATAAATTTGTCTCTTCTACCCAATTTAGCTCTTATCCATAGTAATATTTGGACGTCACATAAGTTTAGGTGAACATCATTATCATGCTTTATTTTTTTGTGATTTCACGAATCTTTTATAAACTTTTTCAATTACAAATAAATTTCAAAGTGCATTTATTTTTTCTTTTCAATTTCATATTCATATTAAAATACAATTTGAAAGAGAAATCAAATGTTTTTAATGTGATAATAAAGAAAGTATGACAATGCACATTTATAAAAAATTAAATAGAATGACACTTTGAATTTTTTTTCTTCATCATATTTTATCATATAAAATTTTTGTGATAAGATTTTTAACTAATCATTTTTTTTTATTATTTCTTTCTTGGATTTATACTCAGTCCCCCCCTTTTTTTTTTCTTTTGTAATTTTAAAAACAACAACTATTTTATTTAAAAAATAAACTATAATTTAATTTAATTTTAGTAATTAATATTTATTAGTAATTTGATCTTATAAATGATTTGTCATTAGAATAATCATATTGGAGAGAAAACCCCATTTTTTTATTCAACACGTTGTTGATATGAAAGACACATACTACTGTGGCCCATTGTCCTAAAGATAATATATAACTTGTATAATTAGTTTTACCAAGATGTGTCCACCCCATAGTAGCTTAGCTCTAAAACTGTAATCATAAAAAGGTTCAAAAATCCAGGACACATATCTTATAGATTCATTTTTTATTTTTCAAATAAAATAAATTGTAGTTAGATAAATGCACGTTTAATGTTGGTTTTTTTTCTCTACGCGTTTGGTTGGGTTACACTAAAACTTCAATAATTGGAGGAATATATTTATGAACAGCATGTCCTTAAGAAGAGTAGCAATAATAAGAACTGCAACCTTTACCCCATACCAGGTGTTAGGTGTTCCCTAATCTTGGAGAATAATAAGCACCCTTGTGGGGGTGTTATATGTTAATGTGTCATCATCTTAATATACTTGGAATATTTTGTTGTTCATGCAGGGATCACTTGGTACGGAAATATATTTGATATTCATAAGATTTACTCTATGTGGAACCCAATCATAAATCTATTCCACTCTAGGATTATAAATATATCTCATATTTACATAATTGTAATATATTTGAAAATATTGTTGAAATAATATATATATATATATATATATATATATATATATATATATATATATATATATATATATATATATATA